GTCTCTGAGAAATCCTATCCGGTCTCTACTGTCCAGTTCATGTGACTGAGTGCAGAAAGTCAGGGTATCACTTTTTGTTAGGAATCATGCAGCTGTGATAACTCCCGAATCCACTGTGAATGAACATGAATGTGTTGTTTTTAGTCACTAAGTCGCGTCTCACTCTTTAGTGACCCCATGGGCTGCAGCCGTCCAGGCTCCTCCATCCATGGGATTTCCCAGACAAAAATACTGGAGTGGGTAGTCATTTCCTTCTCCAGAGGATATCTTCCTGGCCCAGGGATCGAACCCTCGCCTCCTGTATTGGCAGGCGGATTCTTTACCACTGAGACCCAGGGAAGCCCCATACATGGACAGGAGTGGGGAAAAAAGTCCTGGAGGAAGGAAGAAGGAACATTTTAAGCAGGATACATACTTGACTAAATAGGGAGAGGATAAAGCAAGATTCTTATATTCATTTTTGATAATGGATTAATAATTCAAGTTTGTCAAACTCTTTCACGTTAATGTTGTGTTAGCCAGATTTTAAGTTATAACCAGACCAAACACTGACCCAGCAGCATTCACAAAACAGCCTAATTCCACACCACGTTATTTCAGATATTCAACGAACCTAATTTTTCAGTGGGTAATCACAGATCTTTGTCGGGAAAATACTTTCAAAATGTAAAATACATTCATGCAACATATTACAGCAGAGAAGGAGGTATGACAACATTTTAAATGAGGGAAAATAGAAACTCAGATGAACATAATATATATGGCATTTATTTTTAGAGAAAAAGGACTCGAGGCTGATGTGTTAACTTGCTATCTGAAATAAAAAACTCTAAGAAAGAGCTAAGCAATCAAGGGAATAGAGACCAGAGCAGAAGTGATAGAAACACTGCTGTTCCCGAGCGGAGAATCCAGGAATGAGGTTCATCTGATGAATATAATGACAATGAAATCAGGGTGATGACAGAAGGCAAGAAAGCTTACTATACACAAGAATGAAAAATGCCACCGCCTATGACTACCTGTCCACATGTACTTAAAGGTCAGTCTTATTTTATTTGAAATACTGACAGGTACATTAGGTAAATATCTTCTCAGACTCTCTTTGCCTTAACCCTATCATTGTAAAGATAGTTGGCAAGGAAATATTTGAACAATAATCCCAAACAAATTTTCAGGAATAATAAAACTAACAGAATTTATTTATTATACCATGAAACACTCTGGAAAAGTTAAGTTGAATGTGAATGTAAAGAAACACATAATTAAATATTACTTTTAAGTTTTTCATTAAATATCTTTCTTTTTAAGGAAGCACAAGCAAAAAACAAATCAACAGTACTAATCCGAGCTTAATCTTGCTCTTCTTCATCACTATCACACTTTAAGATCTAATCTATGGGCACTGAAACACTACTGCCAGTAATTCTATCTAATGAGTTCTACATTCTATACCAATGCATCTAAACAGAGAACTTCCTGGGAAGCTTAATAAAATTTAGATTCCTGGGCTCCACTCCAGAGCAAATGAAACAGAATCTCTGGAGGTGGGGCTTTGGAATACAAATTAAGCTCTCAAAATAATTATTAAACAGTTTGGGAACCACTGTTTTAAATTTTGCCCTTGGAGAGTATGTTCTGTGATGGGAGTGTAATCTGTATTTGATCTCTAAGACTCAACTCAGGCATTCTTTTCTGCAGGAAGATTTTTCTGAACTCCATGTTATTCCTTTGCTAAACTTATTCTGTGGCTGTCTTTCCACTTTATCATGAAAACTCTATGAGGGCAAAGACTCTGTCTACCCAATTTATTATCTCTCCATTTGTAGCACTTAGAAAGACACATGGTACATCGTAGGTACTCTTATATCTATGAAATGAAGAATAAATCCATGCACAAGATTCACATATAAATGTTGAAATATATAACAGTATTATTGACTTCTTCTGTATAGGTAATTTAGTTTAATTCAATATTTATAGTGTGCCTACTTGAGCAAAGGACATATAAAGATAACAGGACAGGACATTAAGTACTGCTGCATATAATAAAATTAGCTGTCGTCCAGTTAAACCTTAACAAAGGGTAGAGAAGCAGCATAAATTAAAGTGAGAGTGCAGAGGAAGACAAGAGTCTTTCCTCTCATTGCTAGTATGGGCAAGATCATGGATACAGGCGATCCACTTCGTAGGGCAAAAAAGTGAATGTGTACAATAGAAATACTTGGATTCCCAGTAGTGGACAAGCAGCAGAACAAACTGATTCATACATTTTCAGAATACAAGTAAGTATAGACTAAACTGGCAGAGTAAATTAATCCCTAAGTTTTTGAAAATATAAGCCATCTACAAAGTATGACACAAAAGTACCATTTGTGTCCTGAGAAGAAAAACCCTCTGATCTTTTCTTCTTTGTCTTGTAATTCTTTTTCCCAAGCTCTATTTGATTTGGTCTTTTTTTTTTTTCTAGTTCTGCCATCCAATTAAAGTGTGTGTGGGGGTATTATTGATGAATACAATGTTGTTCAGTTTTTTTCCTGCAATTAGTAAAGAGGGATACAATTGTAATATGTATGATATAGGTTTTAGAGTAATTTATATGTGGGTCCTAATCCCAGTTCTATTACTTACTAAGTCTGCTTAACTTCTAACCTGCAGCTTCAAACATCTATAAAATGTTGATGATACTACTTACCTCATACTACTGTTGTAATATGAGAATCAAAATAACAAATTATTGCACTACATCTTAGTAAACTATAGCAGTTACCATCATCATTGTTATACATTTTGGTGAACACAGATGGTGTTTTAAAGCTAATCTAAAAAAAGTACTCTGTTTAACTTTGTGCTCAATATTGAGTTTTGTTGGTGATGATGATGACACAATGGTCACTTCCAGTGTAGGCCATGGGTGAACTGGTGTCAGTGAAAGGAAAAAGAAAAAGGGGAAAACTTTGGAATAATAGCTTTCAAGGAGAAAAATCTCCATGAGCGGACTCTCTAGTCTGTGTAGGGAAACAGCAATTTCAGAAAGTGGATTTGTGTCATTGCTATTAACAGCTGGATAGAGACCTTGAGAAATTTGTTGGTGACTACTGTTCTAGTTTCATTTAAATGTATACTTCAGCCTCTCTCTCTGTCCACTTGAAACAAGCTATGATGTCATTGGATCTCCATCTTCATCTTAAAGAACACCCTCAATTGTATGAACTCTTGTGCTATAATAGTTTTTGTAAGCATTACGTTTCTGATTCACTTGACAAGTAAAGTGAAGATGATGAAGGAATCGAGAAAATGATTTAACATGTAGTCCTGGGCTTCTGAACTAGACTGGATGAGAGAGTCCGCTAGGCCCTAAACTTAAACATGGTTCTCTAAGTAAGGGGAGATTAAATATTTTCTCATTGGCTTTTCTTTTTTTAAAATTGTGATTTAACTTATTATTTTTGTCACTAAGTTCAACAACATCAAGAACTCACTGAATGCATGATAAGAAAATATGCGAAGAGATTTCACACAAAATGTGAACAGTACAGAAGACACACAGATTACAGAAGAAAATTTCTTAAAGGTAAGAGGATATACGAAACAAATTCTCTACCGATTTAAGATACACGTTGCTTCCTGGGCAGTAATAAACAACTACATTTTGCAGCTCATTTGGGAGACAAATAAAACCTGTAATTCCAAGCTCAGGAGCTCCCATGAATGCCAGTCAATTGCTGGATCTGGACTATCTCATTTTATTACAAAACTTAGGGGATTTGAAGAGAACAATAAGAAAGTGGGTTGTCTTTCTCAAGTTTCTCAGACAACACCTGCTGCCCACCACTGGGCCCCTATTTGCTTTAATTGCTAAGATATAAGATTTTTCCTTTAAGCTTTCATGCAAATTTAAGCACAAGATTCAGCAGAGTGAGTGGGTCTCTTGAGCCCTATTTAATCTTTTTCTAAGAGAACAGACAAATTTGGGGTAGTAATTGCTCTAAATTGTGTCAATCCAAAGAATAAAAAGATATATATTTTGCTGTGTGTGGAAGAGAATGGTGGCAAATAGCACCCAAAACCAAATATAATTTCTAGTAAATATACAGAGGAGAAAAATAATCCATAAACTTTGTAAATGCTTTTCTATTTAGTTATCTGAAAAAGCCAGGGCACCTTCATCTTTACAAATACACACATATATGTATATATACACAGATATATACATATATATACTGTGTGCAGATGTGTACTGTGTATAAATACACATACACATACTTCATAATCTTTGAGGACTTGGCAGCTGGGGCGGAGGTAGGGTCCTTCTTAAAATTTTTAAAAATTGTTGATTAAATTTTAGGCCATTCTGGATTTGATCCTTAGACTAGCTAAACCCCTAAGGATATATCCAAGCATACACACACACAATTCTGGGCACAGTCTGAAGAAAGACAGATTTCACAAATAACACCTAGTTAGTTCTTTACTTGCTGAAGGAGAAAGCACCAAGCTGGTCTCATAATGTGTTTGACTAGGCTTTGTTACAGCTACAAATGAGACTGATAACTCTTTTAATTATTAGGCCAATCCTGGTTGTTAGCAGTGCACTTAATTGTTTCAAAGCCAAAAAAGTTACTTGCAGCATCAAATGCCTAAATCCAATTTCTCAGTAAAACCTACATACCCCCTTCTAATCTCTTTCCATATCTGTTGCTAAAAATACTTTCGTGGGATATTTTGCCATTTGATTCATGTTTTAACTTTATAACCTAACTGAGTCAAAAAACCCTGGAAAATGCTCATTAATGTAATAATAAGAGAATGGGTTCTTCCCGTTAAAGCATCTCTGTAACATACATTCTTAAACCCCATGTCACCTGATACAGCATTTGTATTGTATCATATAACTCAATGTATATGAATGCAGAGCTGCCATTTTTTTAAACTAAAAAATATCAGGAGTTCACTGTCTTTTTGGATTTCTTTTAAGGCCTTTCAGTACAGCCAAGCTGAAGTAATAATATCTATGCATTTTTTTTATTATGGTAATAACAAGTTCTAGCTTACAATAATACATAGTACTTAGTTGGGACTAGGAACAATGATATACTGCTTTTGAATAACTGGTAAATAGTCTGTTTTGTCTAATTTAACTAGGAAATTATAAAGAGAAAAAAAATATTTTTCATATATACAAAACATATTCTATTTAATAAAGTATGTGCATAAAATTATATATTGGGTAAGAGGCAAAATTAAAAAGAAAACAGCTTATAATATTCCTGATAATCAGAGTTCCTAAATATAAAAACAACAAATGCCTTGCCATTTTAAAAAATTAGCACATTATACAACTTTTACATACTTCAGAGGAAATAAAGATCTTGTGACACTGTTCTGAGGAATCTATTCTTTACATTTATAAAAATTGAAGGCCTAATTTTGCAAATACAGCTTTCAAGCTGTATGAGCAAATTTAACTTACACGGAAGGCACAGGATGACATCACGTTGGAGAACGTTATCTGTAAATTTCATAAAATCTAGTCGCAAGTTACTAGAAACATTTTAAGGAATCTCAGAACTGTTTATATTGTTCTGATTCAAACTTAGAACGGAAGAGTCTTTATATCACAAATACAAACTGAAGGAAGAGTGAAGAAGAGAGAACTGTTTCTTATTTGAACGCTACCTGCTTTATGCAGTGTTGGTCACTAAACACTCAGAGCAGATGATTAAAATTTCCTTTAACTTGAATTATTTTCAGTTTTCAACAGCTTATTCACTATATATTTTTTTAGTTTGTAAAAAAAATGTTACTTTCACATTACTACAATTTTAAACAGTCAATCATTGAAAGAGATTTTTAAGTAAAGTCCTGCTCTATTAGCTTCCTACATTGGAATACAAGAATACAGGAAGTGCTTTCAACAGAAAGTTACATGGTTCTACAGTACAACCTGTCTAGAAGACTTGCAAAGGACCAGTACAGTGACTTGGTCTCTTTGGATCAGGCAAAATCAGAGGCAATTGAAGAAGTGAACTTTTCTTAAAATAATACATTAAAAAAATTCCCTTATGAAAATGAATACTTGCTTGCACTTAGATTTAGTGCTATTGAGAAGAACTGAGGCACAATGAAAAGGAAAATAATCTGAAATAAAACAATTTACAATGTGACTGAAAGCCTTCACCATTAGACTTGACTGATGCAGGATGACTTTCTTATATTAAAGAAGATTACACACACCAGAGACGAGCCAGTTTTGTGGATCATATGTAGGGTGACACTAACAGAGTGCTGCAGCTAAAAATTCTGATTTTCAAAATCATTTATCATCTTGACTTTCCATGAAATTACTGGCTCTTTTGCTACAGTAAAATTAACCTCAAATCAAAAGGATGCTCTGAAAGCTCTGGAGGACTGCTAGTTTAGCAAAGAGGATGCAAGTTTCTCATTTTCTCAAACAAGTTCTGCTAGAGACCCATCTTTTCTTCATTTATGTCAGTATTAGACGTTCGTTCCACAGAACTTAAAGCTTTGGGGGAGAATGTTAAAGATGATTCTTCAAAGAATAGCTCTTCTAACGGTGACTAGGTAAAAACAGTAAGGTTGCACTCAGAAATGCTGCTGCCTTGAACTGTACTTGCTCCTTCCTCCTGCTCATCACGACTCTAGCAACGCATGCCATCTGCAGACCTGCTGTCCTTTGGACTCTTTCATTTCAGTCCAGTGGTTGAGTTCCTCTTCTCCAGAGCTGTTCAGGCCTAAAGAAACCCAGCCTATCATCTCTTTCCTTTTCATGCTGCGTTTGTTATACACTGACAGTATGAGAGTCACATCAGAGAGCTGAAACAGGGCCACTTGAAACACAAACGTCTCCTTGTATACTGGATTTGGCTGCCCTCTGCGGATGGATGTCTTGCATTTGGACATCTCTTGACCCATGGAATTCAGTAGAGTTAATTTAACATATGTATCTACAGGAAAAAAAAAAAAAAAACAACATGCCACAAATATCATTTGAAACAAACTCAAAATGTCTTTCTTGTAACACTTGATGAGGTTAAGCATTCATACTTTATAAGGATATGGTGTATACCACGTTTAGTCGAAATCTAATAATGCCATTTTGATGTAGATGATCACAAAATGTGACAAGTACAGAGAATGCTAAGTAGGCATAAAATCTTTGGGGGGTAATAATATCTTAACCTCACTATTTCTAGAATTTAAAGGTATACCTCATAATCCTTCCCTTACCCTGCCCCCCCAGCCTCCCACCCCCCCCCCCTCCCGCCCCCACCCCCTTTCAGCTTCACTAAGCAGGACACCACAGCATCAATAAACACTTAGCAAGCCCAGCTAGCCACGAGCTGTAAAGCATTCCACTGCGTTTTCCGAGTGTGAGAATAAACAAACACAGAAACGAAGGCAAATGGTAAGGAGGAAAAGGGAAAGACAAGAATGCAAAGATGACATCGAAACAGCTTAGGATGAAATGTCAAAAAAATCTCTGCATGGATGTGGTTTTTAAACACATTTTAAAAACATTTCAGGGCCAAAATGAAGCCAAATGCACTAAAGGCTCAAGGTTTAGCAAGTTAAGTTAAAACTTTCTCCTTGGTTTCATGCAACAGTACATTTAATGTGCTTTTTGGATGGTTAAAAATAAATACTACAGGATTCCTTTTTGGCACAATTTAATGTGAAATTTTAAGTACGGTATCTTAACTATTTTCATGAATTATAAAAAAAAAAATTGATGTGATGTTTAGTGTACCAAGTGAAACATAACAGTTCATTGCCTGGTTACTTAGGAGATGAACCCTCATTTCAAATAACTGTGTTTTCAATTTCTTTAGAACTCATGCAAATGATCTTCAGCATGTAGATCCATCATGTGTACTTCATATCAAAATTTCAATTAATTTTATGGAAATTTCAATATTTCTTAATGAAATATTTGTTTCTACATGAATCAATATAATGAATAAAAATTAAAACCTTTAATTTGAAAAGTTTTGCTAATTTTATAGATACTCTGAATACCATCATCCATAATCAGAGATAAATTCTAAGTTAGTTTTATTCAAAGTTCCACAGATAATAAATGTGCATTTTTTGGAAATCAACATGGTGGACAGCTTCACTGCTGGCAAGTTTTAGGGTATTTTGTTTTTGCATGAAAAGACAACATCCAATTAGCCTCTACAGGAACTCACCTCGGATTATATAAACCTGTCCACCTATCAAGTGTTTTAGACAACAGAACAGTCCATCTGACAACAGGGGGTGGAAAGCAGTAAAAGAAATAATGACCAGATGTCAATTGTTGGGTGAAAGAGGGTCAAAGGTTAGAATTAAAGAGGAAACGCTGTTCACTGGAGTGGAAGAACACAAAACTTTTAGCATCTTAATTCAGGTAGAGGGTTGAACAAAGGGTATGTTGGGTAAATTTCATGGAATGAGAATTTTTAAGGTCATTGTGTAATCCTAAGCAAAAATTACACTGTTTTAAAGTGGGACATCTTTATAATGATATCCTTATGGTCTAAAGCACATTGAACATAGAATCATGCAAATTATCAGACTATAAAAGACTGAATAAAAGTCATTAAAAGATCATTATAATTGTTATCTTGCTAAATTAAGTTTATCCATGCAATATTTAATATTTCCAACACTTTTATTACTCCCAGTGTAATATAAAACTAAGTTATGAAAACAGAACTACTAAAATTTTTGTTCCTGAATGTTACCATTGTTCTTTTGAGATAAAAATTGGATTAGTCAGTCTATAACACAGTTCAAAGCTTAGAACCCAGGTATATATGAAGGGTCACAATCTTTATATACAGTAGACAAACTGATAAAATTGTCTTCTATTTTACCTTATAAATACTTTATTTCATATAATAAAGATTAATGTTAACTTGTATTTACCTACTAGCTACCTCCCAGCTTACACCAGTAACTGTCCTAATACTGAAGCTCTAAATCTAAAATAATGGAAATCGCTATAACCTATTCTTTAACCTGAAAGACCTACAATGTGTTGTGGATGCAAATCTCTCTTAACTTGTTTATTATCCACTCCTGCCTCTACTCCCCATCTTTCATCTTAGTTCTGATGAATGTTTCTCTGTTTCTATCAGAGTGGCTTCAGCAAGGACAGAAAGACAAAAGTATCATTTCATTCTGCTCCTTTCTAGCATTTCAAGTTAAAGATTTGTCAAAAAATTGAACTACTAGCTAAAGTAGGAATGGCAACCTGATGGCGTGTTACTAAACATAATCCCAAATAATGTCTTATCTGTTACAGTGATTCAAAAACACTCAGTGTTTAGCAAATCAAGTAAAACTTCCTCCTGGTTTCAAGCAAGAGTACAGTGCTCCTTTGGAGTTATCACAGTTCTTTCCATGATTTTATCTTTCATTTACAAATTCTGGTCATTTAAATTACTTCCCAGGCCATTTGAGTTTGCTTTCCTAGTGTGGATTAATGAAAATAACCAAGTCACACTTCCAAAGCTGTTTAGTAATTGCTTCTTCCCTCCCTCTGAATTTTTCCTTTCGCAAGGAAAAAGGGGACAATAATAATTGCATTCTTTTTACGTGCCTTTATCTGATTTGAGTATCACAATTACCCTGTGAGATACAATCTTAATTTTACCGTAAGGAAACAGACTCGCGGAGTTAGGTCATTCGTCCAAGGGTAGAAATATAACCCTAATTTTGGCCTCTGACTTTTTAATGCAGGGACAGATACACTGTGTGATGTGTGTGAGAAGCAAGGTTTCCAGTACTACTGAGGGTGCATTAAATTTATTTTTGTGACTTTTCACTTTGATTGAAAAAAAAATAATTGTTAGAATACTTAGAAGTAAAGTTAACTCAAGGGTGGAAAAAGTTTCCCCTCCTCCAACAATCATTTGCTACCTGGAGTGAAATACTGCTTTCAGCAAGTTTGTGAGAAATCATGAAACAAATTTAAGGGTGCCATCACTGTTCAAGATTTCCTTTCAAATTTTGAGTTTGGGCCATCAACAGCTTTAATTTTACAGAAATATAAAGAAGCTGCTACTCTCCCAGTTCATTTCTACAGATAACAGTCGACAGTTTGGGAGGTATACTGTGCCAATTTGTCTGTGCTTGACCCACTCCCACCTCCTGATCTAGGAGAGAGACGAGAGAGGAGAGAGAGGCTGATGGACCGGGTGGAGGGATGTATACCATCTCGCTTTCCTTCCCTAGCATCCAGCATAAACATCAAACTAGTCCTTATTCATTTTGTCGTGGTAAAAGCAAAGCATATTTCATTTAAGAGAAGACTCTGCTGGCAGTACTGATTTATAATTTTAAAGGAGGAAAGATGTAAAGAAATATTTTTTTTTCCTTAAAATTGTTAACGCAGACAATAAGGAAAAATACAGAAGGATACACATTAGTTCATAGTACTGCATGCAGACAGAGAACACGTTCATCTTCAGTGAACAATAGCTATATATATATTCCTCACCATATCTGTGGAATATTATTACCTTAAGAAAAGACTCATAACTTTTTCTGGTATTAGAAGATAATGGCTATGATACAGCTGATTTATTCTGAAGATGCTGAAAAATGTAAAGTCTTGTCAGCTTACAATTAATATTTTGATTTTCAAATCTTTCTACTTCCCAAATGACTGGAAATAGAAAACATGAAATAGATTAGCTGATGATTACGCCATTATTGATTGGCTATGACTAAATGATAGGATTGAAGCCCTAACACTTAGAATCCCGTAAGTACAGAAAACATTAGAATTAAGAAAAGTTTTCACTCACTGGGTGGCCTGTTGGCTGCCAGGTTTTTGAAGTGGCTGCCTTTTATCACTTCTGCGGACAGCCTTCCAGTTGTGGCATTGTAGAGGAGACCAATGAGAATTTCTGGGACTGAGCCATGTTCAAGAGACTGACAGGAGGATGTGCTTTCACTGCACGACATTTCCGACACACTCATTTGGGAGTCACAACCCTGCAATCAAAAACGAGATCTTTCTAGTATTTTGTAAAAAAAAAGATATATTAATAGAAATGTTGGTAATGCCCTGTCTGTTGGAATGAGGTAGGTAAATCATGATAAAGATTAAGAGTTGCAAGCAAAATTCCCAAAATACTAGACTAGAAATGTTTTTTAGCAAATTTTGGTTTCTGGATCTCTTTTCATCATATGACAGTCAAAGGAATAACAGGAGATGAGGTTTCATAAATTCTTGCATGTTTGTATACAAAGAGAAGAGAGAAATTTCTTAAGCTCATAGCTGTTAATGAACTCTTTCCCAAATGCAAAAAATTGTTTAAAGATTTACTGACCTTAAAAGACTGACACAGATTTAGACTCAATTACATTAAATTGTGCCTTTAAAGACACAGATTGCCAGACTTTGATTAAATAAGCAAAAAATCTGCTATTTATAAGTTGATATGTAAAACACTGCCATATAGAAAGTTGAAAAAAAAAGGGTGGGAAAATATTTGCCATGCAAAAGAAATTTGGTGTAGCTACATTAGTATTAGCCAAGGTAAGCTTTAAGGCAATAATCATTTCTAGAGATAAACAGGTACACTGAATAATGATAACACTTCAAATTTACCAGGAAGATAAAGTAATTCCAAATTTGCATGCATGGGCTCAAAAGCAAAGATTTAGAAAGCAAAAACTGCCAGAACTAGAAAGGAAACAGGCAAATCTACAACCAGTGGATACTTCAGCATACTTTCAGTAACTGACCAAAGAAGGAGGCAAATAAATACAGTAATGGTGTAGAAGATTTGAATATCATGATAAGTAAAACTGACCTAATGGTAATATGCAGAACATCATACACTACAACTACAGAATATACATTTTCTCCAGCACATAGTGGATATTTTTTCCTTTTTTTCACAATAGATTTTTACAAAAATATGTATTAAAAAAGCAAACAAATTTCAAATGATGGAAATAATTCAGAATTTTTAAAAAATCAGCTATAAATGCAAACTATCTTCTAGTGAAGAAAGAACTCCTATAAATTTGGAACTTAAGGATATAAATATAAATAACCCATGAGTACCTAAACAATAATGAAAATAAGTTACTTGAAAAGATGAACAAAAATAGATAAATGTTAGACAGTCCAATTAAGAAAATAAGAGACAAGGCACAAATAAAAAAATATCAGTAATGAAACGAGACACTACTATATATTCTAGTAGTGAAAAGATTTTTTGAAAATGAGTAAGAACAGCTTTCTTTCAACAAATTTGAAATTCTGATATAATAGACATATTCTTGGAATAATACAGTTAACCAAAATAGACACAAAAAGAAATATAATATTTGAACAGTCTTACTGAAGAAACTGAATTAGTAATTAAACAAATTTCCAAAACAAACAGAAAATAAAACAAAAAACTTTAGGTGGATGGCTTCAACAGTGATTTCTAATTAATCATACTAGTCTTATGCAGGGTTTCCCTGATAGCTCAATTGGTAAAGAATCTGCCTGCAATGCAGGAGACCCCGGTTCAATTCCTGGGTTGGGAAGAGCTGCTGGAGAAGGGATAGGCTACCCACTCCAGTATTCTTGGGGTTCCCTTGTGGCCCAGCTGGTAAAGAAGTCTTATGCAAACTCTTTCAGATAGTAGGAGAAGAGGAAACATTCCCCCGTTTCCCATAAGAAAGCAGCAAGACCTCGGGACTTCCCTGGCGGTCCTGTGGCTAAGACCTGTGGTTAAGATTCACTGAACAGGGCACGGGTTCCATTTGTGGCTGGAGAACTAAGATCCCACATACCATGTGGTGTGGCTGAGCAAAAATAGCCAAACCTTAAGATCAAAACCTGATTGGGCATTATTAAAAAATTACACAAATTTCTCATTCATAAACTCAGATTCAACACAAAATAAACACTGAGCAAACCAAGCTGAGCAACAGACAACATCATACTTAGTAGAATTTCTAATGTTTCCCCTTCGAAATTGGGGATGTGACAATGATGCCAACTATTACCAACGGCAGTCAGCGCTGCACTGGAGATTCCAGCTAGAGAAGGTCCTAGCCTTACGAAAGGCAATAAAATGAAATAAAAGGTACAGTGACTTGGACTGCCCTTATATACATTCTATACAGTTACGCAACCAGGAAATTGAAAAAGTCTGCAGATGTATCACAGTTGCAAAGGTAAAATTTAAGAATCCATATATTGCTATATACCAGCAGCAAATTCAAAAATAAAACTTACTTTGAAATGACATTTATTAGAGGATAAAATATAAAACATCTAGGGATAAATGTACAAATGATACGCAAGGACTCTATACAGAAAACCATGAATATTATTGAAAGAAATGTAAAAGTGCTGCATATACTGTGTTAACGAATTATAAGGTTCAATTTTGCAATATTCTTTCCAAATTGATTAAATGTAATCATAATTAAGACCTTAGACTTTTTGTGTGGAACTTGACAAACTAATTCTAAAATGTATGCAGTATATAGGCACGACGGAATAGCATTTCGTCTTAAGAAGGAAATCTTGCCATCTGTGACAACATGGATGATCCTGGAGGCCATTACGCTAAGTGAAATAAGTCAGTCACAGACACATACTGTGTGGTTTCCCTTCTGTGAGATATCTAAGATAGTCACAGAGGCAGACAGTAGGACGGGGGCTGCCACGGGCTACAGAGGCGACGTGGAGAGTTGTTCAGTGGGTATAAAGTGTCACTTATGCACAATGAGTGAGCTCTAGGGATTTGCTGTACAGTAATCAATTAATCTACAGTTAACAATAGTGTATTGTACACTTAAAATCTGTCAAAGGCTAGATATCACATTAAATGTTCTTACCACAATAAATACAATACAAGATAGGGGGCTCTGCTCTAATGAGTATCAAAATTTATAATAAAAGTTACATTGTTGAAGACAATGTGATAAAACAATGTATAACAGATTATTAAATAGAAAGCCCACTAATGAGTCTACGCATAACAGATGCAATTTACAACAAAGGTAGAACTATAAAACCACGGGGAAAGGATAGTCTTTTAAATAAATAGTGATAGAACAACAAGTTATTGACACAGAAATAAATGAAAATTAACTCTACCTCAAAATATATCCCAACCCCCCAATTCTAGACCTGAATATAAAAGGTAAAATGATAAACGTATACATTAAAATAACAGACTATATTCACCATCTCAGGGTAGGGGGAGACTTCCTTAAAGAGGACAGAAAAGCATTAATCATAAATTAAAGTTTAGTGAATCTAGAAACATTAAAATTAAGAATTCCTGAGCTTCAACTGAGACTTTTAGGATGGCGAAAAGGCAAAATCATCAGGTAGAAGCAGAGGTCTGAAATACATGTAGTTCACAATTAGCTCAAATTCCAAATATACTAGCTCAAATACCCATAGCTCTATAAGAAAAAGACAACAATATAAAAACACTTGTTTTTATACTTGAACCAGCACTTTCATAAAACAATGGCCAATAAAAATCTGAAATGCTGTTCAACTTCATTAATAATCAAGGAAAAGGAAATTAAAACCATGAGGTAACACTACATAACAAACAGATGGGCTAAAACAATACTGTGGTTAGGACACAGAGCAATGGGAGGCCTCATTTTTCCAATGGTTATAATGTAAAGTGATGTTTTCTCAAAATGTTAAAAATGCACAAACCATAGTATCTGTCAATTCCATATACTTATTGCCATCAGGAATATGTGTAATGCTTACCAAGATACATATGAAAGAATGTCCTTAGCAGTATTATTTATAATGGCCCTGAAGAGTAGAACAGATAAACAATTTGTGGTGAATTTATAAAATACAGCAACTATACTGCACATACAGTATATATACACTAGACAGCAATCAAACTCATTATAACTACATTTACAAACATGATTTTGAGTGAAAAATGCTGAACCTAAAATGATACTTAGCCATATGGTTCCATTTATTTAAATTTTGACAACAAAAGCCCAAAACAAAAACCAAAGACAGATCAGGATAATACTAAACTTTAGTATCTCAGATGCACGATGCATGAATAGATGGTAAAATGATAACGACATTAAGAAAGTAATTAACTTATAAGTCAAAATTGCAGTTAACCCCAGGGGTGGGGAGAGAAGAGTGACTGGAAAGGACACAGGGGTTTCAGGGGGTGCAGGCAACATTTTATTTCTTGAGCTGGATGGTAGTTACATGGGTTGTACATTTCTGTCTTTTACAATTTCTACTATGTGTTTGTGTGTGTGCATACTAAGTTGCTTTAGTCGTGTCTGACTCTGCAACCCTATGGATTGCAGCCTGCCAGATTCCTCTTTCCATGGAATTCTCCAGGCAAGAATACAGGAGTGGGTTGCCATTTCCTCCTCCAGGGGACCTTCTGGACCCAGGGATCAAACCTGCATATCTTTCTGTCTCCTGCATTGGCAGGTGGGTTCTTTACCACTAGCACCACCTGGGAAGCCCTCTATGCATTTGGTTTCACAAGAAAAAAAGGTTTAATGATACAAGGATACATTTATAATGATAAAAATTGTATAAAGATATGATAAAATACTTAGGATAAAATAATGATAAAATATTTAGGGCTTTCTTTGCACATTCCTAAAGGGATTTACTACATGAGTTAAAAGACAAACTAAAGAGCCTCTTGATGAAAGTGAAAGAGGAGAGTGAAAAAGTTGGCTTAAAGCTCAACATTTAGGAAACTAAGATCATGGCATCCAGTCCCATCACTTCATGGCAACTAGATGGGGAAACAATGGAAACAGTGAGAGACTTTATNCTGAATATTCATTGGAAGGACTGATGCTGAAGCTGAAACTCCAATACTTTGGCCACCTGATGCAAAGAACTGACTCATCTGAAAAGACCCTGATGCTGTGAAAGATTGAAGGCGGGAGGAGAAGGGGACGACAGAGGATG